TAAAATCTGCAATATCCTGTGAGTTTATAGTCAACAAGAATACTCTCCAGACACACAACTAAATATAAGCAATCTATGCAATTAATTATGAAGCTATAAGTCTAAACGTAAGTAACATCCAGGTTGCATACCATTGTCCAAGAAGATGGATTGAATGATAAAATATGAAAATAAAACAGAAAGATCATTTAACCTTTCTTGTTCCATCAGATGCTGTGCGAATTTCTTTAAGAGCAAGTGCCTTTAACTTGGCATTTTCATTCAACATTTTCTTGAAATCTTTATTCAATCCTGAAACATAAGATATTTACATAAACTTACAAGAATTACTACTCAATTCAACTTATTCAACTCAAAATTCATTAGCAAAACTATCCTATTTCACCAGGAGGATCTGAAGGACTATGCTTACAAACATTTTTGTCAGAAGTACTAAGTACAAACATTATAAAACAATAGTTTTTGCCCCCCTCTCAAGTACATGCATTGAAATGAAGAAGAAATAACCTTCCAACTCATCAACATGGTGGGCCCAAATGTTGTTTCCATACATTCGCTTCCATAACATTACAGCCTGCCCAGGCCTGTATCCATGTGAGCGAACCCATTTCTGTACAATGACAAAACCATTACAAAATTTGGAGCAACAAGTAGAAAACCTTTTGTTCATGAGATATTCTACATGAAACTGATGAACCAAAAACAGGGAATCTGAAAAGTGAAATAAAATGGGTTCAAATCCTGGTTACTTAGATAACAAAATACTAATAGGGGGTGTATCTTGCAAGAGCGTGAGAATAAGAGTTAATCTTGATCATACATGGATGATTAAGATTTTTTTAGTTAAGTCTAACCTTAGCCATCCATTTTAATTGCATTGCAGAGAAAAGATTTACTCCGATTATGCTCTCATCTCACATCTAATACAGATCCATAACCAATAAATATTATAATTGTCACGTTTTATTGAGATGTTAAAAACACAAACATTTTTCAGCATGTAACATAGAAACAATGCAGAATTTTCTTTAAATATTTAGTAAAATGTATTCAACGTTACTTATCCTGTGCACAGACATTAGAAAAACCAAAAGCAAAAGAATTTAAATCCTTTAAAATGAATTGATTAGAAAATTAACTGCTGCAATTTATCAACATTATGATTTATTAATTATAATATACATACAAGTATTTTTATCATAATCTTACAGGTAAAAAATCATTTTATGTGTAATTTAATACTTGGGTAACTGAGAGTACTAAAAATTAAAATGATTTCTGACTGTGTAATTAAAATAACAAATTAAAATGAATGTAAATGGTTACGTTGGGGAACCAAAAGAGAATAAATGTGTCATCCAGACACAGCACAGAGGTTGATAACAAAACTAAAATTACATTCTCAATTTACATTTTCAGAGTTTTTAATACCATTGATAGTGACATTAAATTACACTTTCATACTAAAGTGAGTGTTTACGCACCAATCTTACTCTGCTCAACCAACCTGAATATTAAAAAACATGCACAAACTTTTAAATAGATAAAAAATCATACTTCAAGATCGGGGTAAGTCATCCCTTTGAGAAGCATCTTGTAACCTTTGCTTGAAATTCCAACGTTGTCAACATCTCCTGAATCAAACGCACATTATGAATTAAAAAGGGAAAAAAAGGGTACATTAAGCAAGAGAAGTATTTATGCATTTATTTAAAATAGGGCAAATAGTGACCGAAATCAGAGAGGTCGTGGTGGTCAGCAGCTAAAGAAGAAACAGAAAGGAAACGGCGCTGGCGAGGAGTGAGAAGGGAAATGAGAAACGGCGACGTTCTGGTTACGGAGAAGGAGAAGGGGAAAACCAATTGATTGGGTTTAGAAGATAGGAGAAGAGTGGAATTCGCAACAGCTCCTGCAGCCATCACGCGCCTCATGCTCAAACTCATCCAATCCAACGTTTCATTCTTCATTCGTTCTTATTTACTCAAATAAGTTTAAAAATTAAAACAAAAGATGTTTCCAAAATTAATTGGTTCAGACTGATTTTATATTATTAGTTCGATTTTAGCTAGTTTCAAATATTTTTTTACATTAAAAGCTATTTAAATTGTATCAGATAAAAATAATTTATTTTTTTCATTTTAACAACTCCTAAAACTTTGAATATATTAGGAATAATGATGTCTTACGTATACGTAAGATTGGTGCGTAAACACCCCCTTTAGTATACGTACAGGTAAAGTTTTTTAAAATAACATTAAAATTAAAAAATATAAATTAATTATTTAAAATTATAACAATAATAAATAATTTTATTAAAAATCATATAAATAATTAATTTAAATTTATTTTATTATGATAAATTAATTATTTATCTAATTAAAAAATATAAAATATTTATAAATATATACATATATATATATATATAATTTTTTATTTAATATTTTAATCTAATATAATTATATTGAATTATAATTATTATTTAGATTATGTAATTTTAAAAATTATTAGAAAATACTTTAAAATAAATATTTTTTTATAAATTGTAACATAAATAATATCTGAAATTTATCATATAATATTTTTTAAAATATAATACGTTAAATTATAATATTTTAAAAAATAATAAAAAATTATTTTATCAAATTTTAATGTAGTATTTTAAATTAGAAGAATAAGATAGAGTGAGAAAAAAATAAAGGAAAAAAATAAATATTAAGAGAAAAAAATAACAAAAATAAATATAAATAAAAAAAATATTGAAAAAGAGAAAAAAAATTATATTATGTCAAATGAATTTATTTTTTATTTTTAAATTTTGTTATGAACAATAAATAAATTTAATTGTATAAATAAATTTATAAATATTTTATTTAAATATTTCTTTAAAATATATTATTAATAAGATTGAGTAATATTATTATTATATTATAATTATTAAAAAATAGTTATTTTAAATTAATCTTTTTTAATAAATATTTTTTAAATTATCTACAAGTTAATTATAACTAAATTAAATTATTAAATAAAAAATACATTTAACTTATAAAAATTTGATATTTTTTTAATTAAATAATTAATTTATTTATTATGATAAAATAATTTTAAATTATTTTATTATGTCATCATAAATAAAATTATTTATTGTTATTACAATTTTAAATAATTAATTGATATGTTTTGAATTTTAATATTAATTTTAAAATTTTATTAATAATTTTTTATTAAATTTTAATATAGTAATTTTATTTAGAAAAGGTGGAAATGGGAGAAAAATAAATACTTGAGATAGAAAATAAAAGAATGAGCGAATGAGAAAAAAAATTTCATATTAAAAATTAACATGTTTATTTGGGTAAAATAAATTAATACTTTTTTTATGTATTATTTATATGATTGATTAATTAGATGTGGTGTATTGTGTATCTAGAAAGACCATGCTTCTTGTTACCTAGGCATCATTAAGAGCTAAGAAAGACGTTACTGATTCTTGCATGAATTTGTCATTATATTTTCTTGAGATAATAGATTTGTTTGGTATTGTTTTCAATGTTAACGTGAATGAAACACTTACGAAATGCATTTTAATTAAAGAAAACAATTTGTGAGTATAAGTGATGTTTATTTCTGGGTTAATTAATAGTCATCATTATTAATATTTATAGAAAAAAATGTTTGTATGTATATTTTTGCGGGAACCAATAGTAAAAAAATTACTTTGATATAAGGTGATACATTTTTTTTTAATATTTCAAAAATCATAAATACGTATTTATTTTTCTTGTTTGAGGAAAACCAAATATTTAAATTTGGGGTATTTGATAGTTATGATGGTTACACTAATATATTATGACAAAAAAGTTTGATGTAATTTCCTCATTTCAATCTATCATCTATATTGATAATGTTGATAAGGTAATCCCATCTTGCCCACAAAAATGAAGCACATTTCCTCAACTATCATTTCGTACTACATTTAATTCAAATCAATTACAAGTTTTTCATATTTTGATTTTGAGTTGTTGTCTTTGACTCACCATGCTTATCTGTCTCAATAATGATATATCCACTTAACAACTTATTATTATATAATAAAAATAATAATAATAATAATTTCCTAATAAAATATTTATTATTATATTTAAATTGTAAAGTGAGTGTATATTAAATGTCAAAATATCATTTGAAATTCAAGTTTATCGTCGTTCAATCCCCCACCATCTTGTATGGTATATTTAAGAATCAGTTCTCCACCCCTATATAAAAAATCACTTCCTTTTATATTTTAAATTCAAATAAACTACTATCATCTTTTCCCATCACTACGTAACAAACTCCCTGTATATTCTTTTGATTATTCAATTCCTTTCTTTCTATAAACTTTTTAGGTGAACGATGTGATATCTCTTCATCTAAACTTAATTATGTTCACCCAAAAAACTTACTATATTATTTTTGCTCTTATTTGTCACTGATTTTAGTGCTTTTATCTTTCGAGTCAGTGGCACAATGTTCATTTTGTTGTGTTCAAATTTCTGGATGTTAAAGTAACTTCTGTTTTGTCGTGAATACTTCAATTTTTTGACAATGACATACAACTTTGTGCTGCGCTGCGACGCACTTCCGCGAATGCATTGCATGTCGTGACAGTTGACTTCAAAATACGATTACAAGTTCTTTAAAATTTTAAAATCTTAAAATCTCGAAGAAGGAATTTTAATCTTTGCATTGCAGGTCACATCTCTTCCAAACAATTATTGATCATTCAAGAAAATTAAGCCTGCATATTACACCGCTGAAAAGCGCTAATAGTATTATTACAGGTAAATAACACTTGGTTTTCAATCCTGGTGCTCAATGGGAAGCCAAATAATTTACCATTACATACAAACACAGGCTACTATCTATGTGATGATTATTATTACATAAAAACTCAATGACGTTGGGTTCAACCAGCTTTCATTTCCATTAGCCACTGGTGCGAACCAGACTACTTTCCTCAATCAATCAGCAACGGTCCAAGTCATGTCATTCTCAAATATCCAGTGGCAAACTTCAATCTGACCCGGACCCGATCCAAGAGCCAAGAATGCACCGTGGGTGGGGCTCCATGCAGTGGTGTCCAAGTGACAGATAGCGACACCGTGGTTGATCTTCGCCTTGGATACCGGGTCCAAAAGATCGGTTTGGTAGACCCGAACCTTAGGAACCGAGTGACAATAGTAGAGCAGATAGGGGAACAAGCTCTGGTGGCACGACACTGATTGGGTCACCTTCCCGCCGTTCATCCCTTTGACCCGACCCACCATCACATTCTTATTGAACCCATTTGTATTCTCAGTGGTCCAAACCGCCACATTATGGCCCAAAACAGAGGTTGCAAAATCAATCATATCCTCGACAGAGCCCACACAACGCTTCACCTCTCCGACGCTGGGTGCTCTCTCGCACTCAGTCAAAGAGTCCATGATCATCTTGTCCATGGAGGAGTTATCCGACACCTTGAACACGCCCTTCAACTCCTCAACCTTTGAAGAAGAGAAGGGCAGTTTCGCCAAAATGGAGCGGGGCAAAAACGACCTTTGTGGCATTTTATCCCTTATATCTGGCATGGGCATGACAGTTCCTTCCTTAAGCATGCTCTCGCGAAAGAACTTACCGGGTTCAACCCACCTTTTCACTAAACTGTCGCGAACGGTTTTAGAAGTAGAAGAGGGAGAGGAAGAGGTGTTGTAAGTAGCGAAGGAAACACCCTCTTTGGCGTAATCCTTAAAGGTAGCGTTAGTGTTAACGCCGTAGCCAGTGAAGCCAACCTTGTGATCCCCTTCGGCTCCTTTGGCGTAGCCTTTGAAAGTGTCGGAACCTGGGTTCGCCGAGTTGCCGTAGTTCTTGAAGTCCACATGGGTCCCTTCTTTGGTGTTCTTAGCATAGGATTGGAACGAGTCGTCACCGACGTTGGACTGGTCCCTGTAGTTGGCAAAACTCTCAGTGCCACCATGGGTTCCGTCTGCATAGCTCTTGAAGGTCTCTTCGGGCACGTTCATGTTAACGCCGTAGTTCGTGAAGGTGTCATTGGGAATCGCGCCTCCCTTGCCGTAGTTCGTGAACCCAGAGGAGGCAACGTTGGAGTCTGTTCCGTAGGCTGTGAAGTCGTTTGCGGCTCCAGCGGAGTTCTTGCCGTAACTCTGGAATGTCTGGCTGCCGGCGTTACCGTCCTCACTGTAGCTGGAGAACGACTGCGTCCTCCCAGCGGTGTTGTCGGAGTAGGTGGTGAATCGCAGGTCGGGGACGTTTGAATTGCTGGAGTAATTTTTGAACTCACCAGAGCCTCCGGCGGTGCTGGTGCCGTACGTGTGGAAGCTCTGGTCGGCGACGTTGGTGTCGCTGGCGTAGCCGGTGAAGGTTTCTTCGTGGCCAGCGGCTCCACGGCTGTATCGGCGGAAATCATTGACAGGAGTGCTGAAGATATCGTTGGAGTAGTTCTTAAACGTGTCGAGTCCGCCGGCGCTACTCGTTCCGTAGTTGGTGAAGTTCTGGCCGTCGTTGTAGGTTTGAAAATTCTCGTCTTTGGTGTGTTTCTCTAGGCTTGGACGGACCTCCGGGAAGCAGAGAAGGTGCGCGGCGGAGCAAAAATCCGGCAACCGTGTGGAGAGGGTGTTGGCGGCGGCGAGCTTAGCGAAGGAGGCGGTGTCGGCGGCTGTCATTGGGGAAGCCTTGGAAAGAAGGAAGGATGGCTTGGGGAAGCTGCTGCTGACATGTCTGTCCCAATAACGTTCCACGTAAGCCTTTGGGGTGAACGGGTTTTTATCTCCTGAGTCGCGACCACCGAAACCAACCTGCATTGCAGTGATGAGAATATGTTAGACGTAAACATTGCAATAAGATGAGAAAGAAAGAGTGATTGTTGAAGTAGTGAGAGTGAAGGAAAAGTATGGTTACAGTGAGCGTTGAGAGGAGGATAAAGAGAAAGAGGGTGGTGATGTTGTTCATCTTTCTTTCTTTTTTTATTCTTCTTGGAATGAACTTGAGGAAGGAAGAAAGATGTGGGGATGAATTATCTGATGCAGGCTAAACGGTGTGCTTCCATCTGCATGAACAAAGCAGGAAGGTGGATAGAGCGATTTATATGCTCAGAAAACTCATTTTTTATTATATTCGGAGTTGGCCTAGGAAACTAGGAGCGCCTAACCGGCCAGGCCAGCCCATCCCATTAGCTTTAATGGGAACACCGAGAATAATTCCTTTTCAAAAAATATTCACTTTTTTTATTTAATTATTGAAAGAATTTGAGAATTGATCTTTAACAAAGATTTGATTTTTAATTACCTTTGATTGATTACATTGAATGATCTGTACAGAACCAACTTTACTCAGCGGAATAAGATTTTGTTAATGGTGTTGTAAGAATATTTGGATAAGCTTACCTATTTGAAGTGAAGTTTTAAACTATGATTGCAGCAACCAAAAGTCCGATGCGGGTTACATGCAGATGACTAGTAATGCAAATGCATTGTTATATATGTTTAATTGAAGGTGGAGAACTAAAGCTTCAGGTAACGTAGTTAATCCTGAGAATCCAATTTACATAAAGAAAGAGTGGTAATATTTTGACACCACCTTTCAAATAACTTTATAAGAGTTTAATGAATTTGAGTTGGGAAAGAATTATTTTCCTTACATAAAAGTTTGTGATGAATCCCACGAATCAGCAATATAGCTAAGCACAGCATAAGAAATCTCCAAAAATGCAAGCAAACACAATAACCCATTAAGATAATTTATATTCCATCACATTCACAACTGAGATACACTGACCTACTGATGACGTTCTAGTGACGTAAGCTGGATGGAATTAGGTGAGTCCTACTTGGAAGCCTGATATCTATTAATCATATCATCTTTCTTTATCATTTCTTAATTAGTTAATCATTAAAACAAATCCATGTAATGAGAAACAACACTAATTGTATCTATCATATAATATATAACTTTTATTCTTGTTTTCTAATTAAATTTAGAATTTCACCTTAAAAAGTTACATTAATAATAAATAATCGTATGGGCATATATAATATAATCTTGTTGTAAAATTAAAGTAAGTCTTGTTAACCAGTATTTTTAAATACTTGTTAAAGAATATATATATTATTATAAAATATATGCAAATGTATTAAAAAATATACAATTATATTTTTATGTATCCAGATAAAATCATTCTTCTAATTCTTTAATCAGTGTACCTCTTAAAACTTACCTAAACAAAATTCATAAAAAGCAATCCATGTGCAAGGTCCCAGAAAGCTTTAGAGCAGGAAAAATGTTCTCATGCGTAGGGCATAAGTTGAACGTACTCTTAGCAGTAGTTAAGCACGATAAAGATCCATATCATAAAATTGAATTTCGTATTCATTAAATAAATATGGAAGAGAACAACCTTAAATATGAAAAGGTGATCGGAACAGAGGTAAGCAAAAGTTCTTCTCCTCTGATATTATATTTATTCTGTACTTTTTTAGCATTTTCTGCTATGCTCTCTTCAATTATGACATTTTCATAATGAAACTATGACATGCATGCATTCGGACAAAAAACTTGGTTTATATTCTCAACTCAATAACCACATTTATTAACCGAGATAAAAGAAAGTTGCTACACATTATGAGTGGATAGTTAAGTTGGATGCTCCAACCTCAGTTAAGGTTCTATCCTTATTTATTTGTCTTTGTTTGTGTCTTGACACTATACGTTACAACAAACAGTTTTTTTATCAAAATTTATGATGAAAGAAAAGATGAACATTTCTGCAACTTACCTTCTCCACTCATAATTTCTGTCCCTTTCTTTCTGCTCCATTTTCGACTAAATCCTACAACGAAAGAAAACTTCGTTTTATCAGCACGCCATGGACCACATAACATGCTTGCACAGCAGTGTGGCAGCGACTGATTGACTTAGTTCATAATATATGATTGATTAGAGGAAACAAAAACGGATACTCTTGCGAAGGGTTGGTTGTTTTGTTACCTTTCTTGGCCTTTTCTTTTGACTAAGATAAAGTGATAAAATTTCTTGGCGGTCTCGACCTGGTGATAGGAAGAGGAATTCTCCAAAGAAATACGTGTTCATGATGAACATGCATATATTCTTCTTTTGCTTAAACTTAAAGACAACCCGTTTCTATCAACTTTAACGCACTATTCTGATACAATATTGCATTGCAGAATATCTTTCCTTTTTGTTTTTACAAGCAAAACAATTTACGATTATTATTACTATTAGTTATATATAGATAGAGACCGAGTTATAAACTTGACTTTTCACAATTAAGTATGAAGATCGTATTGCATAGATAGGAGCCAAATCATTTGTCGCATTTATCTATTGCGTCTTTGATTTGAAGTTTAAAAAGTTTCATATTGACATTTCGATATGAAAAATAATTTGAATGTTGATCATAGAATTATTTTTATTGTGAAAAATATTTTGACCTGAAAAAAACCAGTAAACCACACTTCTTTTTTGTGATTAACATATTTTATTATTTTTATTTTTATTTTTATTTCTTCTACATACTGATACTATAATTAATTTTGGATATATTTTATCAAATTTTAAGTACTTGATAAAAATATTTTAGCAATACTGTAATCTCAATCATAAATTAAATTGAAATAAATTTTGAGTTAATTTTAACACATTGTTTTAATAAAGATACTGTGTGCTTAAATTAATATTTCATAATTCTATCCTTTAAATTTTATATTATTTATTTTTATCACGTTATTTTTCACTCTTATGCTTTTAGTTAAAATTTAATCATGGCATCAGAGAAAAAAAATTCAAATAATCATTTGATCAAATGAAAAAATAAAAACTTGTAAGCATGAGGGACACTCAGTTCCCTGAAAATGGAGCTATGGAGTGCAAGCCAGAGAAGTTACGATAAAACCAAATATCTCTATGAAACGTGTTTGACAAAGAAGAGAGAAATAAGGAAAGATAAAATAGATGAGTGAGGAAGAAAAAAAACAGAATTCTTTTTATTAAAGAGAGATAAAGTGAAAATTATTTATTTTAAAATTTATTATTCTATTATTATTTGTTACTAATATTTATTAGTGCAACTGTTATTATTGTTTTTAAGATATCTTAATTTTAAAAAAGAAAGTGGTATGCAGCATTGAAATTTTTTTTTCTTTCTCCATTTCTATCCTACAAACATACTCTAAAGAAAGCCATGTTTAGGCATACTAATAGTGCATATAAGAAAATTATATTCTTCAAACTTCTTTTTTATTTGTTTTACCACAACCAGTGACGGATCTTCATAGTAGTTAAGCGGATCATGACCCCCCAAAGTTTTGTAACTTACTTGTATGTTTATGATTTTGACCCCCCAATATTAAATATATCATAAAGAAAAAAGAAACTGAAGGAATAAATTAAATAAAAAAGATTAAAAATAATTTTATTATTTGACATTTCTATCTTCTCTCACTTTTTCATATTCTTTCATTAACGGTAATATTTTATTAGTATTTAATTATTTCTCTAATTTCTAAAGAATATATTAAATAAGAAAGGTTAAAAGTAGTTCTTCATCTTCTCTCACATTTTCATATTCTATCTCGAACTGTAATATTGATTGATTAATATTAAATTATTTCTATAGTTTGTATTTTCAAATTCATTGTTCGTCTCTCTTCCTCCTTCCTCCTCAGATTCCATACTTGAAATTATATTGATTGATAAATGTATTTTTTCTTCATCTTTTCACTCGCTTATTCTATTATTGTTTGTTATTTTGATTTTTGTTGAGGAACATTTGTTGTTTGAGAAAACTATTTTTGTTTTTTATAAATTTTTATGATTCTATAATTAGAAAATTAATAATAGATTGATTTTTTTTTCTAGATATGAAACATAAAAGAATAGATTCATTTTTTAAAAGTGATAAAAGAGATACTTGTAGAGATGAAAACCAAACAAATTCAACATCTTCTCCTGTTTCAAAGTATGATATTGATGATCCAATTATTCAATTAGAAGAACCCCTTTCTAAGATTCATAGAATTAAAACCAATGAATTTAATATTAATTCTTTGGAGCACGACTCAGGAAAACGTCTTCAGATACATGAATATCCTATGAATCAAAGAGATGAAATTAGAAGAGCTTATTTAAATTGGGGTCCATATTAAATACAACTTAAAAACTATCTTTTTTCTAAAGAGAAACATCCTAGGAGATTTCAATATGGTTGGTTTAAAATGTTTCATTCTTGGTTAGAGTATTCTCCAACTAGTAATGAAGCTTATTGTTTGTCATGTTATCTATTTAGCACACTGTCAAATGGTCGTCCTGTGGCAGATGTGTTTATTAAACAAGGATTTAGATCATGGAAAAAGGTTAATTCAAGAAAGAATTGTGTGTTTCTTAGTCACATTGGAGATAGTCATTGTTCACCACATAACAATGCAATAAAAACATGTACAAACTTATTAAATCAATCTAAGCACATTGACAACATTATAAATGTGCAAAATTTAGAAGAAGTTTGCAAAAATCGTTTACGACTTAAAACTTCTATTGATACAATTCATTGGCTAGCATTTCAAGCTTGTTCATTTAGAAGTCATGATGAAACTCCAGATTCAAGTAATAGAGGTAACTTTCTTGAGATGATTAAACTTTTAGCATCATACAATGATAAAGTAGCACAAGTTGTGTTAGAAAATGCTCCTTATAATTCAAAATATACTTCTCATCATATTCAAAAGGAAATTTTACAAATTTTTTCTAAAAAAATAAGAAATTATATTCGTGAAGAAATTGGTGACTCAAAATTTTGTATAATTATTGATGAAGCTCGTGATGAATCTAGAAGAGAACAAATGACTATTGTTTTGAGATTTGTAGATAAAATGGGTAATATTAAAGAATGTTTTTTTGATAATATGCATGTTAAAGATACTATAGCTGCTACTCTTAAAAGAGAATTATGTGTTGTTCTCTCTAGACATAATCTTGATGTTTCCAATATTCGTGGACAAGGATATGATGGTGCTAGTAATATGAGAGGAGAATGGAATGGATTACAAGCATTATTTCTTCATGATAATCCTTATGCTTATTATGTACATTGTTTTTCTCATAGATTACAACTTGTTTTGGTTGCTACTTCAAGAGAAGTTATTCCAGTTCATCAATTTTTTTCAAATTTGGCTTTTATTATAAATGTTGTTTGTTCATCTAGTAAACGTCATGATGAATTACAAAGTGCATAATTAGATGAAATAGCAAAATTGTTAGAACTTGGTGAACTTGAAATCGGTAAAGGAAAAAATCAAATTAGCACTTTAAAACGAGTTGATGATACTCATTGGAGTTCACATTTTCATTCTATTTGTAGTATGATGAAATTGTATAGTGCATCTTGTTTAGTTTTCCAAAAAATTATAATTGATGGTTCAACTTATTCTCAAAGGGGTGATGCTGATGTTGCTTATAATATTTTATCTGAGTTTGAGTTTGTATTGATTTTACACATGATGAAAAAAATTATGGGAATTACTGATTGTCTTTGTCAAGCTTTACAAAAACAATCTCAGGATATACATAATGTTATGCAGTTAGTCTATTCGACTAAAATTTTGATTCAAAAATTAAGAGAGGAGGGTTGGCAAGATTTGTTGAAAGATGTGATATTGTTTTGTGAGCAACATGACATTGATATTCCTAATTTTAATTCTACCTATGTAGCACGTCATGATTGTTCTCGACATAAAAAAATTTGTATTACAGTAGAACATCATTTTAGGGTGAACATATTTTTTTATTATAGTGGATAAACAATTACAAGAATTAAATGATAGGTTTAGTGAGAAAACAATGGAACTTTTAACCTTAAGCAATGTTTTAATTCCAAATGATGTTTATAAAAATTTTAACATTGATCATATACGCACACTTGTCAACAAATTTTATCCTTTGGATTTTAGTGAACAAAAGAAAATTAATTTAAAATTTCAACTTCATCATTTTATATTTGATGTTCCTAACCATCCATATTTGAAGAATTTGTCTACCATGCTTGAATTATGTCAATCTTTGACAAAAACAGGTAAGTCAGGTACATTTTATTTAATAGATCGTTTAATTCGTCTTATTTTAACTCTTCTTGTTTCTACAGCTACAACTGAGAGATCATTTTCTGCAATGAAGATTATCAAAACAAGACTGCGAAATAGATTAGAAGATGAAATTCTTGCAGATAATATGATCATTTATATTGAGAAAGAAATAGTTGAAAACTTTAGCTCTGATTCCATTATACTTTAATCCCGCAATTTAGTTGTACTTATTTGAAAACAAAATTGAAAACAGAAAAATAAATATAAATTAGTAAGCAAACTCATCCAATCCACGAACCCGTAATGGATTGAGCCAAATTGTAAAAAATTTTACTCATCATAAAATAAGTTAGATTGAGCTCGTATATTTTCACCTTCGTGAGTAGGTTAACTCACTTTGCAAAGATTTTATTAGAGATATTAAATATTTTCAATCTATTTTTGGTGTAAAATTTATGCAAGTTAGTGCTTTCTAGTTAGAGTTGTTTTCCATATCTTCGTTTAATAATTGATTATGTATTTAAAAAACAATCATATTTTTAGTGATTTCTAATTATGTTAGAATCTATATTAATAATATATAAAAATTAAACTTTATTAGAAGATTTGATCTTTAAAAGTGTTTTTATTTTTTTACATATGAATATAGTTCAAATTTGATATTAAAATTAACATTCACATAATTTGAAACATATATCAAATGGTGTCTGCTATTGTTGTTTTTGACAGTCCAATATTTGTAAGGTTAATGATGAAAACGAAAGAAAGTTTCATCGGACCACACATAAAGTAGCCGTGCATTATGATCTCGCCGCCACTAATTCGAGCACGATAATCATAATTGATGAGTGACCATTTCAAAAAGAAAAAGAAAAAGAAAAAGAAAGAGAAAAAGAAAAAGGAAAAAAAAGAAAAGAAAAAGTGAACACAGGCGAGAAGGATTATTCAAACAGGATATAAAATTTGATTTGTTAATTGAAATAGTGTATTTTGATTTGTATTTATAGTGTAAAATTGTGTTTTCATAATAATAAGTCGTTTAATTCTTCCGTTAATTAGATAATACTTGTGTGATTATAATTAAAATACTGACATAAGAGTGTAGAATATTTTCTAGCATAAGCCAAAAAATCATTTAGGAGTATTCATACGACAAATGATGGGATATAATTTTTTTTTTCTGTGTAATGTTGATAAATTTCTCAATGAAAATTCAAAGAAAAGAAAATAAATTTTCCACAAATTAAAACATCTTATTATATATCTAAAAGCTTATTCATAATTTGTCAACCCTAAGTGAGTTCCACGTCACTTGCTGTTAGATCTCAGCAATAAATTGTCAACCCTAGTTATGTTTCACCCTGTTTGTCACTGATTAACCATACAAACTTGGATACTTTAAGCAACGTGGTTTCCTTCTAAGTTCTAACAATATCTATCAATCCTAATCTTTGAACCTTATCATTTCCTACACACTTCTTTTAAATGTTTATTCATAAGCTATCAATATCATCAAAAGTTCTATTTTTTTGTGTCACCTTCGCTAATTGAGAATTGGAGACTAATTTTTCAATATATGTTTTAAAAAAGAAAATTATCTATTAATGATGTCACTGCTCTCCCTACCTCATTGATGGTGGTATACATGCACGCCTTTATAGTCCATTCCATTTGCAACCCACGCACGTTCCACTGAGTTGTGATTGTTTGTGGTGGCAAAAAGTATGTGGAAATGTGAGTTATCATTTCTTCTTCGACTAACTATGGTCATGATGATGTTCAGAACCATGTGGTCGACGCTCCCCTCATATTGCATGTGTATTGAGTTATATATATATATATACACACACCTACCTCTGCTTGCAGAAATTATCACATTCCTGGCTACTAATTATAAACACTAATTCACACCTAATGTCAAATTTATTTAGATTAACCATGAACTCCAGTAGACTAAATTATTAAAGAGTTAAATAATATATTATTAATAAATAATAATAAATATAAAAAGATATAAAAAGTTAAATTTATAAATATACAAACAAATATATTTAATTATTATTAAATTTGAGGAATCAAAATTCTAAATGTATAAGTTACAAATTTAATTATTTATTTTTTACTTTAGCATTTGTTTGATCTTAATCTATTTTTCGAAAAAAATTCAATTAAGTGTTATATATATATATATATATATATATATATATAAATTAAAATTATCCTTATGTCAGCTTAGAATTAGTTATTTTAATGATAAATTTAAATATATTAGTAAGTACAACCAACACTGAATAATTATTACAAAGTTAAAATAAAGAAGTTAAATATATTTTTAAAAGTTGTTTTATCTTACACTATTTAAAAAATATACTGTATTGTTAGAAAGGGTGATACCAATTTATAAATTTCAAAAGTTAGTTATATTTTATAGTTAGGATTAATTTATTCACAATACTCTTTAATATTATAAGAAAAGAATAATTTATTGATCGATATTAATGACTGAAATAATTGGCGGCATTTAGTGTAATTACAGTCAGCGACGAAAAATTGCAACAGATATATTTTTGGTATATATATTATCTTATTTAGCAACTGAAATAGCTATAATAATTTCTCATTCCCAAATTTTCAATAGCTAAATCAGTCGTTTTGTACACTAAAATAAAACTAGTGAATAGTATCTTGATCTATATCAGTTGCTATATGCATTAAAATAAAACTATTTGTTTTTATGATCGAATTTGCACCTAAATAGTGTCTTGATCTAGTGAATGATCTTTGATAGTTTCAAAATATCAATGGAACCAAAATTAGTCGTGAAATATAATTACAAACTTTTGTCACCGTGATATTTCTCGGTAGCCAAAACATATATTTAATCATAAATATATTTAAAATTTGTTTATGTATTTTTTACTAAATTTTATAAAAAATAATTTATTCTTAAATAATATTAAATATAGTTATAATATATCAGTTTTTTATAAAAAGTTTTATTTTCATTTATGATTACTATATATATATATATATATATCTTTTAATAATATATTATTATATAATTTTGTATTTATCAAATTGAATTTGTTATGTTTGTTTTATTAAATAAAGAATGTTATTTATCTTCATTATATTCTGTTAAAAGTTATTTAAATTAAAATTAGAAATTCTTTACTTTTTTTAAATAGATACAATTTGAAAAAAAATTATAATAAAATAAATGATAAAATTATTAAATATTTTCATATGAATTATTATTAAAATTTAATTTATTATTAATAAAACATTTGATATATTATTTTATAATTAATGCTTACTCACCTCTTCGAAGAAAATGTAAATATATGGCTTCATATCATAATAGTACATAAGAATACATAAAATGAGAAGAAGATAGATAATATTGTTAATGCTTATTTTTAGTCTTTGTTATTAACTATAATTATAATTGTTTTATTTTATATATATATATTAAAAATATTTTTCTAATCAAAATGAAATTACAGAAGTTAAAATTTTTAATATACAATGAATTAATAATTTTTAATAAAAAAATTTAACTCAAATATGTTAGAAAAAATATTAAGAAATTCTCAAAGATTTTATAAATTTATTAATAAATTAAGAATTAAATTTTACTAAAATATCAAGTTATCAACATAAAATATTAGTTTAATAAATGATTTTTTATAATTCTTTATTACTAAAATATAATTATTATTAATTATTTTAAATATTATAAAGTTTCTTTTGTTTTCTTAACAAACAATTAAATTACAATTAATACTAATTTATTAAAATAAAAGATTATTTTAATAATTGGATTTATTTAGTTTTTTATTATTAAAATATTACTCATATTAAATTCTTTGAATTGATCAAAGTTTTATATTCTCATACCGATATACTTATATACTTATGACTTCAATTCAAAATATAAGATATGATGATTTAAGGTGAGAAGGTGATGATAAATCATATTGTTACTATAATTTTTTTAGTCTTTATTATTAGCTATAACTAATTTAGCACCAAAAACATAAAATATCAATTAAAATTGTAATAAATTTTTTTATTAAATAAGATAAGACAAAAAAATAAAAAAACTCTACAAATAAAACACTTTCTTTCAAATTAATAAAAGCCTAAAAGTTTAGAACATTTAATTATCATATTAAAGAATACGATTATATTCATATTAATTTCTCTTTACTAAAATATTAAAAAAATATTTTTATCCCCTTAAATAATAATTGATATTAATTTATTGAAATAAAAAATTATTTTAACAATTATCCTTTGAAAATATGAAAAAAATTAAGAATAATATATTCATATTTAAAATTCAAATTAAGGTCTTATTTAGAAGAAATTAGAAGTAATTGAGGTTAATGTACTCTAAGACAATAGGGGTAAAATCCTATAAACTCACTCTTATGAAAGTGAAAGAAGAAACACAAGGGTTATTCTCTTAACCCTAGCCGTTAGTTGTAACCACGCAACGAACTAAGAGAAAGAGGTAGTGAGGGCTTCTATACGTCCAATGCTCCTTTCTCCTTTACCTGCCCCACATGGTAGTAATCTCTATTGTTGTTTTGTTCTTCATCAATCTTGAGTTTTGTGATGATAATATATTGGTCACACAAAATACTAATAAAAAATAATAAATAAGTTGTTAAATTAATATTATAGTTCATCTAATCGAATTTTACAATAATATAGTCATATGAACGTACTTACAAAATATTGATAAAAAATAATAAATAAGTTGTTAAATTAGTATTATAATTCATCTATATCGAATCTCACCAAAACACAATCATATGAACGTAGTGTTATTATCACATATCATTCTTGAAAACAATAAATAACAATAAATAAGAAATAAATAAAATAGTAAAAAAGGTTAAATTGGTGCAGAAGAAATTTGTGATTTATGGAGATTTTGTGGTGTTTCTAATGAATGAGAACAAGATTTGCGTATTGGAATTTAGAGGACAAAGAACGGAATTGGATTTTTACGTAGGTACTTTATAGTTACTTACTTGCATATTATGTTATTAAGTATCCATTGTGAATCCACTTTATATTGATTCTCTGACCATGTTAATTTTAGCATTCAAATATACTCTTGACAAAAAAACTAAATATCGTCGGTGAGCGATACAATAATTATACTATGTTTGATTATTCTCATAAATTATTTCAATGAAATAATTTAATTTTTAAGTATAACTAAGGTTCGTTAAATTTAATTACATTCAAGTTATAATGTTAAAATTTTATCAATCATTCATGGTTCCAATTTCAATTACTATGTATTAGATTTTAAATGTGTATTGTACAATTTTTAGTAAATTTTTTTACAAAATTAAAACTATTTTAGTCATTGTAAAATAGAGGAGATATCACGAAATAAATGAGAATTTACTCAATAAATTACTCAAAAGCTTAGCTTATATTATATGTTACTTGAATTAATTGATCCAATAAAAATATAAACTTTATTTTTTTGTTTTGAAATTTTCAATTTATCCTTTTTCTTTCACATCTTTTAATTTGATGTTTCACTGATTTAATCGATCCAAACTAATACTATGATGCAATCTAATGTTTTGTAATTAAATATATTTTAAAATTAATAAAAAATTTAGTGATTAGCCACCAATTTTCGGGATTAGCCACCAATTTTAACAATAAATTCAGTGGCTGAACCGGTCATGATACTTTTGGGTGACCTAAAGTTTAGGGACAAAATATTTAGTGACCAGAGAGCATTTCGGTCTCTAAATTTGTGATGGGGAATTTTACTACCACATAAAATCAGTCACTATTTTTGTTGCTAAATGAATTAGCGACTGGAAATTTATGGTCTAAATTACAATATTTTTAGCAAATTTAAAATTAAATATATTTTATTGATAGAGTTCACGACACTAATTTATTTTAAGGGTAACTTGCTTCTTTCTTTTCAAATTCGACTCTCAATCTCCTAGCATAGCTCTTTCCTTTTTTTTTTATCCTTTTTTCATTTTCCCCTTTTTCTTTTTTCATGTTGATGTTAACAAGAGGGAGATCAGCATCATTGAAAGGTCAATGCAGACGTTGTAGTCGGCATGAAAAGATTTGAACATGGGCAAAAAAGATAGAAAAGAGATGATATAAAAGTGGCTGAGGTGTTTCCATATCATATGTATGGTGGCTGAGTGAGCAACAGATAGAGTGGAGATTGTCATTGTAGTTACAAGAAAATGTGTATGGCGACTCCTTTAATGATTAGGGAGCTAGAGTGAAAGTAAGAGAAAAAGGGCATGTTTTAGTCAAAATAATGTGAACACATGTGTGTTGTTTTTTGTTAATGGTTTTCAGAGCAAGTTTCCAATAATATCTTATAACAATAAATTTTTCTTACATTATATAGAAATTCACTTATATTTAAAAAAAAAGTTATGATAAGATGGCTTAATAGGCAATAAATATAATGGCCAATATGTAAGTTATATATATATTGATATATATATATATATATATATATATATATATATATATATAGATGGGTCTATCCACATGTTGCAGGTGCTCTTTATAACCGGTGGGTTTCTAGAAGTATATATCTATTGCAACGATATTTCCTCAATATTAATTGAAGTTGATGGAGACATTTCACTGTGCCCATGCTGGAATTCACCAATCGAACGTGGTGTTTTCCATACAAGGAAAAAAGAAATAAAAAATTGAAAGGGGTTGGTTAGTTTTGAGTTCATATTGTTGCCTCTAGTTGGTTGATGTATACATGAAACAAAATTTTCTTTATGCTTATAAAATGAAAAGGATGAAGGTATAGTAATTGATCACCAACAGTTTAAATCCTTAGTATGCATTATGAGTTGGCTCAGCTAGCTGTAACTTTGGTCAAAGCTGACACCAAAGTGAAAATTCACACAAATTTGACTATAACAGCTTTTTGTTGCTGGTTGTGCTCAACGAGTGACCACTAGCATGCATTCATCTATGAAAAAAGGTTGGTTTATACAAACTCTACGTGCCTTCCTTTTCTCTCTTTATCATAATCTCTCTGATTTTGCTTTAGCTACGTTAAACTCTTTTTCTGCAACACCAAGGCCTTCTATTCAAATGGGGGCTCTGATTTATGATTCATGTGTTTGTTTACAAAGGAAACATGAAAAGTAATTCCAAATTTCACCTTTATTTATAACCTATAACTTTGTCGGAGAAAAACTTTAATTTTTCAGTCTTTTCCCAAATTTTTAAATACAAGTGCTACTAAAAGTAGCAGGCATCTCATGGGATTCGAAGATGACTAATGTGACCATTACCAATTCCTTTTTATCCTCCATTAACTAATTGTCAGTGAACTAGGGGAACTTCCACACTGAATTAACCAAGTTAGCCTAGAGCATCCCCAGCTATTTTCTTACTTTCAAGCATCTCCAGCATCAACAAAATATTTTAGTTTCTAGTTAAAAAATTTAAGTTTCTTAACTTTTTTACCATTGAAGCAAATTTTTAAATATGATAGAAATGACCTAGCATTGTGGAAACCACTGAAAATGGTTTATATTATTTAAGACATCCACTTAAGCGAGATGTCCTTAGAATTCAATATATACAAGTAGCTTGTAAATTTTAATGACCTCTCTAAACGGTATGAACATAAAACACTGGGAATCATAATAATTAAAATTCATCAAAGCCATGAGCAATGCAATATCATGGAAAATATGATTGAAATTGAGGTCACCTCTTGATAGAGAAAGTTGTTCTACCTACTATCATTTAACGCCGCAGATAATAATGCACCCCAATTGGCCACGATCGGTTCCACCCAAAGGGAAAACAAAAGGACTATTATCAAGTGTACTGCTTTAAAATTATGTTATTTATGTGTACTGTGGACCTGACTACGATATCAGTTTTTTGTGGCCACAATTATATGCAGTTTCGCATTGCTGATATACCTGCATTTTTCACATATCATCGCAATATACTTTTTTTCGTTGGAATATCGTTTTTCACTTCTCCATGAATATGAGAGAATGAGTTATTTTATTACCTTTCATTTGTTTAGAAGTAGTTCAACATTTTGAACTCACTAAACACACTTTTTATTTGTTTCAAACTCATTAACGTTAGACTTGTTGGACACCCCATAAATATTGATGCATGCAGCTGAGGAGTACCAAACATGTCTAAATTGAAAAGCTTGGCTATTCGCCATAATATCTCCTTCTCTTTATTCAAGCTCAGGTTTAGACATTAGAAAACCCCACATAGAAAGAGTACTTGATTTTATCTAATAACATTGTGCATTATTCAGAGGATCTGATGAGTGATTCTGAGAATAACGCTTAAAAATGGGTTCGTGAAGCCAAAGGCGTGTGCGTGTCCATTTTAGCATCGAAGTACTTACCATGCACGCATATAAATTATTGAAGAAGAGTGTTACTGCATCTGATAAGTTAATTTTCCAAGATATCACAGATTAGGACAAACAATTGGATCCTCTTAAAATTTAAGAAGATTGCTGCTTCTTATATTTTACATGTTCGTTTGGAGTACACACTTTCTTTTAAAAGAGGACTAGTATAGGGTACTGGTATCCATGGCTATGCAGCAGTATGTTACTTACGTCTCGGTTTAAAGTAATTAAATAAGAAAATATTGATTTAATTAAATTTATACACTTTACTCTTATTAGATATCATACCTGAGTCGTTCAGTATTATGTGAAAATTACTTCTAGGTGGGATGGAATAACTCCGAATAAAATTATATTTTATTATTGTAAGTATTTGAAATATAGCGAATACAATTGTATGATTTTACGATTACTGCATCCAATGTGAACATTTTTTTCAAAAATCTTTTGTTTGTACTCAAAATTCTATGGTTTTAAAATAAAATAGTTTTTTAGAATTATAGTTATTATTAAGTCATTATTTTTTATTTAATGGAAAAGTTATTCTATATTTAATTTAATAAATTAAAATATTTTTATTTAAATTAAAAAATTATATGATTTAATTTGAAAAAATTGATTATTGTTTAAAAATATATAATAACCATTTACTAAAATAAACAATGACGTGATTTATGACTTAAGAACTTTTAGTTGTTTTAAATGCATTATGATATCTCATTTGTACACGTGAGGTAGAGTAAAATATTAACTTAATATTTGAAGATTATTAGAAATCGATTTATCAACCGTTTGTTTTAAGGATAGAGAAAATTTTGTTTGATAATCATTAAGCAACCAAATATACTAATAATAATATTTAATATAATATTAATACTTGTAGTTGATTGTTTGATGTCAACAAGTACTCTCTAGACGATATTGTTGGGATAAAGATATTTGATTAGCTAAATTATAGGTTTGTATAGCGGTACAAAATATTGTATAATAAGAACTTCCTTTATTTAGTCCTGATTTGTTAGAGTAAAATACTATAAGATCATAGTATCTGTGTACAAAAATAATATGAATAAAATTATAGAATGAAATCTAAGTTTTTCAATTTGGTATCAGAGCTTATAATTTTTTTCTTTTTCTTTCTAAATCTTTGGAGATCTTAACTGGAGAGATGACAGAAAAACTAATTTCAGTGGTTGTTCAATCTGAAAGTGTCTTCAACGTATGCATCATCCTAAATGTATGGTCACAACTAATGCAGATGCACATTGCAGAGAGAGGAAAATTGTTCTACATCCATGGGAAGGTGAAGCCTCCAACAGAGAAAGATGAAAGATAGAAAAATGGTATGTTGAAAACCAAAAAGTGAAAAGATGGCTACTGATGTCCATGAAGCCAGAAATCATGAAAAGATATATTCGCTTACCCATTGTCCTCGATATTTGGAATACTTTGTTAAAGGTGTTTTATGATGGAAGTAATGAGCTACAAGTGTTTGCCCTGAATCAAAAGGCATTCACTACAAAACAAAATAATAGAACCTTAACTAAATATTATGGGGAGTTGGTTGAGATTTTTAGAAAATTGGACCATCGTAACAAAGTAGTCATGAAAGACCCTGATGATGTGAAGTCATATCAGAAGTCCATTGAAAGATTAATGCATATATTCCTTGTGAAAGTGATGAAGATCTTATTGAAATACTCTGGCAAAGATCTTATTGATTTGATGAAGTCAAAGATAAAGTCAAAGTCAACTTTGTAGCGGTCAACAGTCACTTAGATAAAAGAATAGAGGGATTAGTGTGTCTGCAGCTATGCTTAGGTATAATCATTTTTATCTTTTCTGCTGTATGAGGTTTCTTCACTTAAAAGATTTTGCAAAATGTCTCTAAAAACGTTTAAGTAGTTAAAAACAAAGTATTTTAACAAAAGCTTTCTTAAATAAGTTTTTAACTGATATAATTTTGAAATAACCGATTATTTTCATTAAAGAAAGTTTTGAAAACCTTCTGTTAGTGTTTTAACTGATAAAGCTTCGAAATAACCAATTAAAATCACTTAAAATGTTAAGAGAAGTGTTTTTGCAGTATTTTAATCGATACAACTTGGTTTTAATCGATTAAATCCACTTAATGTTCAGGATGAGTGATCAGAATGCAATTATGATCGATCAGAATCAGATATGATCGATCAGAATTGAGTTATGACCGATCAGAACTTTTTCAATCGATTAAAACACGTTTCAATCGACTAAAACAACTTAGAAAATTTCTACACAGCGTTTTAATCGATTAAAACTTATTTTTATCAATTAAAATCACTTGGAAAATTTTACAAGAAAGTTTTGCAGTATTTTAATCGATTGAATCATGAAACAATCGATTAAAATAAATTAGAAGATTTTTTGTAAAGAGTTTTAATTGATATAAACATTGTTGTATCAGTTAAAACAAATCTGTTAAAGAATCAAGAACGTTTTAATGGATTAAAAGATTATTTTAACAGATTGATTAAACCAGCAGTTTTGAAAATCTTCTATAAAAACAGATTGACTTGAATTTTTTAAACATCATCGAATATCAATCTTTTACAAATCCTTTAGCAATCAATCAAACAAACTTTAATACTCTTTCAAGAAAGATTTGCGCTAGTTTTTGTGAAGTTCTTTGAAATTCTTTCTTGAGGCAAATTGCTTTCTTTTGGAGAAGAAACACTTACTACAGAATTGCATAAAACTGGTTTGAGCATTCTAGTTTCTTCTTTTCATTTCTTTTCATTCTCTTACTGTTTGTTTGGTGCCTGGAATTGTGGGCACTCGGTTTCTCTACAACTGGAATTTGGTTGTAGAGGTTGTCAAGAACTGGAATTTGGTTCTTGGTGAAAGGTTAGGTGCGAGAACTGGAATTGTGGTTCTTGTGGTAGATTAAGTGTAAGATTGTAATCTATAAAACATTTAATCTAGTGGAACCCAGCTGGAATTTGGCTGGAGACTAGACGTAGCCCTGGTATTGGGTGAACCAGTATAAACACCGGTGATATCTTTCTAAACCTTTCTCCTCTTTTAATTCTGTTACTGCGTTTATTGTTGATTGATTGCTTTGGTAATTCAAGAACAAATCTGAAATCTTATTTTTACAAATAGATAATCTGTTATTTGCGAAAATCTTTCAAAGATCAATTCACCCCCTCTTGATCTCAGCCTTCTTTTCTAACAATTGGCATCGGAGCGAGGTGCTTGAAAGTTATTCAAGTTCTTCGATCCATGGTCGAAAACAGATTACCGTTTTCTCGAGGGAGCTTCTATTAACGCACCTCCACTCGTTTTGTGAAACAGATTATCCTTTTTGGAAAATTAGGATGAAGATCTTTATTGAGTCTATTGATAGAAATGTTTGGGATGTAATTGCTAATGGCCCTTTAATTACGTAAAAAGAATGGTCCAGCTTTAAATGATGAGGAAAAGAAAAAAGTTCAAAATGATTGCACTCGCTAAAAATATAATTACTTCGCACTTAACATGGATGAGTTTTTCAGTGGTCTCCCAATGCAAATCTGCCAAGGAGATGTGGGATGTTCTTGAGGTTACTCATGAAGGGACAACAGATGTAAAGAGAGCCGTAAAGCATACTCTCATAAGAGAATATGAGTCGTTCAAAATGCAAACCTGGTGAAAGCATTGCAGATGTGCGTAAGCAATTCACTCACATTATTAATCATCTAATGGGCCTAGGTAAAACCTTTGATAAAGAAGAATTAAATATTAAAGTCTTGAAATGTCTTGATAGGTCATGGCAGCCAAAGGTCACAACAATTTCAGAGTCAAAGGATTTGTCCGTCATGACAACAACTTCTTTGTTTGGCAAACTCAGAGAACATGAAATGGAAATCAACAGATTTAATGAACAAGAAGTCTCTGAGAAGAAAAGCAAAAGTATAGCACTCAAAGTTGAAGAAAGAAATCAAGAATCAGAGGAGGAAAGTGAGAATCTTGGACTACTTGTCAGAAAATTCAACAAATTTCTCAAGAAAAAGATTCAAGACAAGGAAAAACATAAAAGGTATGAGAAAAAAACTGATTCTTCTAACTTTAAATGCTATGGCTATGGTAAGCAGGGCCATGTAAGAATGGAGTGCCCAGAAAAGAACAAATATAATGACAAGAAAGAAGAGCAAGTCAAAAGAAGAGCCTATGTAGCAT